CATAATTGTATTGATTATTAATTTTTTGATATTGATGATTGAAGGATTTTTTTTAAGTTGATGTAAATTGGTTCTTTTAAATTAATATTGATAAAAAATCTAAGTTAATATTCACTAGGAATTTTATCATTTAACATTAAAAAAACTCTTAATTATTGATAACAAATAAGATTTATTTTGTTGATAAAAAAAACCATTACAAATATCAATAAAAAATCTCATCTCCTTTTTAATATATTAGTCCATAAAATTCTAACTAATATCAGACAATAAAATAATAATGTTAAAATTTTTTAATTCCTATTAATTTATAAATAACTATCCTAAAAACTTAATCATAGAATCCAGCTAAAATCAATTAAAAAAAGACAGAATTATTTCAAATCTTTACTTCTTTTAAGATAGCATTTAAAATTATTTAGTTTAAATAACTTAAGTAATCTTTCCAAATTTAGAAATTTAAAATTTTAAGTTGTTTCTTAAAGAAAAATTATATTTTTTTATAAAATATTTTAAATCCTTCATAAAAATAAATGATTATATTTATAATTATTTATCAAACATGTCAGTTATTTTAATTTTACATTTTTAGAATTATTTATTTTAATATAAATATATATCTTTTTCAATTTTATTTTTTAGTAACTGTTCTTTTAATTAAATTAACTATTTTACCAATTTAACTTTTTAAATAAAAAATTATAGAGAATACAATTATAAAATTTATTTATTTATAATAAAAAGTATTAATAATAAAAAATTATAAAACTTCTTAGTTTATTTTTATAAATTATAATAATAATTTTATAATTTTTTATTATTAAAAACAGGAACACAAAATCGCGGTATATGTAAATTAGGTTTGATAAAATTTTTTTGTGTAATCTAATTCAATCTATTTTAATTTTTTTTAAAATAAAAAACGTATTCTTGGGGTTTGTATGACTTGGTCACAGGTTGTTTAGAAAAAGAAATTGAGGAGTTGGTGCACCAGAGTTTCCGCCCCCAAGACCAGAGTATTTGTTCAGTCTCTTTTCCCCTCCCAAGAGAGACTCAAATCACCTTTTTGCTTAAGATTTTCCTCAATCCTTCTTGGATCATAATCTTCAATTTTCAAATCTGCACAATAATCTTCTCTCATATATTTTGGNAATTTTTTTCATAGTTTTTTAAAATAAACCATAGTGGTGACTCCAAACTCTGTTTTCAAAATTGTTTACTTTTCTTTTTTATGGTTTGTCGTCCTGTCGCGACAACCTCTCACAAAATTTATGCACTTATCACTTTCATGGATACTATGTTTCTTCAAGACATCCTGTAACACTCCTTTAAGATGCTACTAAAATTTAGAATATTTTTGCACATATACTAAATATATTTACTTGTCAACATAGAGTGAGGAAATGAAAATGGTCATTTATTTCATCAACCAAATTTGTCACTCACTAAATTCATTTCCAATACTAAGAAAACATTTAAGGATAGTCTAAGACTTAAATTTTATTCAAAATACATTTGAAATACAAAAAAACATGTTCCCAACATAATCCCCACGCTCCTCATTGTTGTGCATCTAAACCATCATCTACGACATTATTTATTCACGTATAACGCAAGTCATACCATCATTGCACACAACCACAAACATGAAAATGTGTGCTTAGTTAAAAGAAAACACAATTAGTAAAGATAATCACATCATAACATGCCTCATTCAATATTTTGATATGTATATTCAAATAGCAATTATTATCATATCAACCAACAATCATGAATCTACGTGTGTTTCAGCCTAAGAGGTTCAATCTACAACATAGTCCTTGCACGTAATTGTCCAGCACAAGTATCATTTCCCACCACTCTCCTAGAATGCTTCATTTTACAAGCATACCACTTCCCACCACTTTTCGAAAGAGCTTCACCGAGCAAGTATAGTACTTCCCGCCACTCTTTCAAGGAGCTTCACTAGGAAGTGCACATTGCTACTCCCCGACACTCTTCTATACATCTTCATTAGGCAAGTACACATTGCTACTCCCCATCACTCTTGTAGAAGGTTTCACTAGGCAAGTACACCTCTGGAACTACTACGTCAAGTATCCTTACCTCTCGTTCAGACGCACGTTTTCATTACACACATACAATCCAACCATTTTAATCCATAAAGTAAAACCAACAGCATCCAACTCAACCATGTTCAACCATAACTCGACACCCAACAAACATAACTCGACAACCATCATAAACAACTCACTCAAACAACCAAACTCTGTCAAATAACCTAGTTTAGCCAAATAGCACAACTCAGCCAAACAACCAAACTCTGTCAAATAACCATACACATCTTGGTTCACCACCTGAATAGTTCAAAATAAAGCCTAGTAGTGCTGGTTGAAACTAATACAACTCATATATAACTTAAATAAATTTGGTTCATACCTATAACCACTGATTTAATCTTAAGGAAAACATTTACAGGCTTAATATAATAAAAATATGGAATAACCTAGAAACAATATAGTTCAAGACTTAATAAACACGTATCAAAGCTTAATAGTACGACCGTAGTTACATATAACTTGGTTCCAACCATCAACGTACTTTATTCAACATCTAAATATTATATATTTAAACTTAAACAACACCACTGTTCAAACTCAAAACAATCCAATACAACCATAAACAACATATACAACCCCAAAACATCATGGTTCAATATATCAATAGCTCAATACAACTTAAAGACAACATGATTTCAAACATAACTAGCACGGTTCAATACTTTACTAACCACTTGTTAAAATCATAAACATCTCGGTATAAAAAATATGATTCAAACTAAAACAACACGATACTCTTCCCTCTTGATTAACTAACCATTATATACTTTTCTTTAAACTACTATACACTTTTCTTTAAACCACTAATTACTTCACAAATTATGTACAACACTATAACCAATATTGATAATATGTAGGACAACAAAACCATAAATTATTACTATCATCAATATGCATCGAAACAATAAGTATACCTTATACTTGAAGGGAAGTGCAACAAATTATAATATTGAGTTACACTTCCATTAGCACTCTACATCGAAACAATAAGTATACTTTATACTTAAAGGGATTGCAACTAATTATAATATTGAGTTAGACTTCCACCAACACGCAACTTAAAACATATGAACTTTTCAACCCTATCAACCACGAATCACGATAATACTATAAACAACCAAAATATTTAACCATTCACAAATACGATCATGTCAGAACCATTAGAGAAACATATCATTACAAGTTATTTCAATGTGCACACAACATAAAAAAGCAACGAAAAAAAAATATGAGTTTTACAACCTTATTACTAAGCTCTTCAACATATCCATAATCATACAGAAAAAAAAAGGTTAACCCATTTACCTCTACTAATAGAAACTGTAACCCCCTCAAAAATCATACTCACCATAGAAGTTCTGTCTTCTTTCACACCGATGTATCGTCACATATATTTTATTGTAGTGTATTTTAACGTTACATGTATTTCATTATAATATTATTATAACATCACACGTATTTCACCATTTACCTATATATTATTTTTTTTAATATAACTGTTTGTTTAAGAGTATTAATATTTAAGTGAAAAGTCTCAGTCTTCTCAACCGTTATCTCGGTAACTAACATATTTTCAGTACTAAACATTATAATTTCTATTCAGCATAGTTCTATTTGAATATTTCATCATATATTTAGTCAATCGGTAAACGTATCCATTATTTTGAGAACACAACACGAATTCCTCAAAATGGTTAACATTTCTTACTTTATTATAATAACATATTGATAAAGAAGAACAGATTATTATAATATATACATTTATACTAATCTTAAATTTTATATATAGGTTTTCACATAGTCTATATTATTTTTAATTAAACTTCTTCAATATTTAATATTTAAGGTTAATCAAGATTACTTTTGTATGATGTTAATCATAATTGTATTGATTATTAATTTTTTGATATTGATGATTGAAGGATTTTTTTTAAGTTGATGTAAATTGGTTCTTTTAAATTAATATTGATAAAAAATCTAAGTTAATATTCACTAGGAATTTTATCATTTAACATTAAAAAAACTCTTAATTATTGATAACAAATAAGATTTATTTTGTTGATAAAAAAAACCATTACAAATATCAATAAAAAATCTCATCTCCTTTTTAATATATTAGTCCATAAAATTCTAACTAATATCAGACAAGAAAATAATAATGTTAAAATTTTTTAATTCCTATAAATTTATAAATAACTATCCTAAAAACTTAATCATAGAATCCAGCTAAAATCAATTAAAAAAAGACAGAATTATTTCAAATCTTTACTTCTTTTAAGACAGCATTTAAAATTATTTAGTTTAAATAACTTAAGTAATCTTTCCAAATTTAGAAATTTAAAATTTTAAGTTGTTTCTTAAAGAAAAATTATATTTTTTTATAAAATATTTTAAATCCTTCATAAAAATAAATGATTATATTTATAATTATTTATCAAACATGTCAGTTATTTTAATTTTACATTTTTAGAATTATTTATTTTAATATAAATATATATCTTTTTCAATTTTATTTTTTAGTAACTGTTCTTTTAATTAAAATAACTATTTTACCAATTTAACTTTTTAAATAAAAAATTATAGAGAATACAATTATAAAATTTATTTATTTATAATAAAAAGTATTAATAATAAAAAATTATAAAACTTCTTAGTTTATTTTTATAAATTATAATAATAATTTTATAATTTTTTATTATTAAAAACAGGAACACAAAATCGCGGTATATGTAAATTAGGTTTGATAAAATTTTTTTGTGTAATCTAATTCAATCTATTTTAATTTTTTTTAAAATAAAAAACGTATTCTTGGGGTTTGTATGACTTGGTCACAGGTTGTTTAGAAAAAGAAATTGAGGAGTTGGTGCACCAGAGTTTCCGCCCCCAAGACCAGAGTATTTGTTCAGTCTCTTTTCCCCTCCCAAGAGAGACTCAAATCACCTTTTTGCTTAAGATTTTCCTCAATCCTTCTTGGATCATAATCTTCAATTTTCAAATCTGCACAATAATCTTCTCTCATATATTTTGGGTATTACTAAATCTTTTGAATCTTCATTTTCTTTTTCTTTGTCCATTTAAGCGGTATGGATGTCTCTGTAAAGGAGGAAGTGTCGGAGGCTCCGATTATAACTAAGAGGAAAATGCGAACCGAAACTGTTACGGCGCCTCCTCCTGACTCCGTCATCGAACTCAGCGACAGCGATTCCGATAGCGATTCGGAGAACGATGTTGAGTCGGAGAACGGAAGAAGTCCTTCCACGAAGCGAAGGACGGACGCTGAAATGGTTTTGCCTGTTGGATTCCTCAGCCCTCTCCCTCCGGAGGCCTCTCCACCGGCACCTCTGCTGGCTTTGCCGGCGCCAGAGTGGGCTTCTAGTTCCGCATCACGATCTAACCATACATTGGGAGTGAATAGCTGCAAGCAGTTCTGGAAGGCTGGGGATTACGATGGTGCCCGCTGTGGTGGTTCTGATTTTTCAACAGGTGCTTTTTGTTTCGGTCTATGTTATATGGAACTGTTACTTATAATAGGAGTGGTTGTGTTTCAAATTATTTTATAGTTTGTTTTCGTTTTTTGGCCTTTAATCTTTAACCGCGGTTGTTTTTCATTATTTTCAATTCTTTATTTTTTAACCGCGGTTGGAAGCCATTCCACTGATATTTTACTACAAAAAATCAAGAAATTGAAATCATAAAGCCTCCTGTCAGTTGTTTGATAGAAAGTATGTAAAGATAAACAATGGTGATACACAATGCATGTTTCTCCACTAATTTCTAACTATGGTTATTCCAAACTGTAAGCAATTTACCACGTATGAATATTAGATTCTTGAGATGCCTTTTAGATGTCAGGGTAGCTATACCATTTCATAAATTTCTCTCGAACCCAAATATACAAATTTAGAAGTTTAGAGTTAACCTCTTCTCCCTAACAATCAAACTATACCGTCCACTGTTAGAAGTGGACTTTAAGCCTAACTCAACCTCACAAAACCGGCTTGTAAGGTGAGGTTTGCATCCACTTATAAACTATGAATTGGGTTTATCTCTAGTCGATGTGGGACTTCCAACATCCAAAAAAAAATGCAATTGGGAATGACATTTTGAATGCCAATATATCTAGTACTAAATTGAATAGGTAATGACTAAAGGTGGACCCTGACATAATCCTATATCTTATAAAGTCAAAGTTGAACTTTAAATTAATTTAATCTTACAAAACTAACCTATAAGATAAGAGATGTATCCCACAAATCTTGATAAGATAGAGTGTGATACCATCTTATCTAGTCGATGTAGGACTAACACTCCTCTCACGCCGAGGTATAGACATCATCTCGAGCGTGAGACTAGACATTAATGGGTGGTCCGATAGCGGGTGGAACAACATGTCTAACAAACAACAAATATTGCTATGATAGGCTCTAACCGTGCTTTGATACCCTAGTCAAATTTAAGCCTAACTCAACCTCATTAAACCGATTTATAAGGTGAGGTTTGCACCCACTTATATATTATAAATTGGCCTTATCTCTAATCGATGTGGGACTTCCAACACCCCCCTCACGCCGAGGTATAGACATCATCTCGAGTATGAGACTAGACATTAATAGGTGGTCCGATAGCTGTTCGATAGTGGATGAAACAACATGTCCAACAAACAACAAATATGGCTAGGATAGACTCTAACCTGAATCTGATACCAACTTGAGAATTAAACTATAAAATAATTCTAGAGGGCATGATTGATCCCTCTCATAATCTTATATTTATAAGAATAAATTGATACAAGAGTACATGATAATTAGGTTAACCCTAGACACAATATAATCACGATAAATGAGGTAACCCTAGACACAATATAATCACGATAAATGGGGTAACTCTTGACATAATATAATCATGATGAATAGGATAACCATTAACACAATATAATGATGATAAATAGGATAAATATCCTAACATGATATCTCTAACACTATCCTTATAAGAAAATCTTTAGCCTTGCCTCTCGGAGTTCTTGGTATTGTAGTTACTCTTTCATACGTCTTATATAGCATGCTTATAAGGGACACCATTTTTTTCCGAAGTCTTTTGTAACACTTGTGATGAAAAACCCACTCATCTTTGGAAGGATCTTACAACATCAATCAGTTAAGCCTCTACAAAACATCTATTAAGAAAGTAGAAGAACTCTATTATTCAGCCAAGAATTCAAAGAAATTAAAGAAATAAAAGCACGGAGGAGAAAAAGAGAGGTAGAACACAACACATTCATAAAAAATGATATGTGCAAGTGAGGATCAATAGTTTGAATTAAGCAATTAGAAGATGAGAAAATTAAGAGTAAGTTTCAAACACAAGAAGAGAAAATCTTTCTCAAAAAAAATAACAAACCTATAAAATTTAATTGAACAAAAGTTGTCTACAAATGATGGAGCAAGAAAAACTTATAGAAGCTTTGACTAACTAAACCATTCCTATCTACTAACTAGAGTTTTCTAACAAGGATCGAGGAAACTCCCTAAGCACACCAAACAAAATAGGGTTCGGTCATCACAAAGTGTTAGCTCCCTTTGCAAGTTTTGGTTCAAAAAGTGGATCCCCACTTCCTATAAGTGAGTTGAGTCCCACTTCATTATTGAGGATCTTTAATACAATTGCGTTCCCACTTGCGGGATTTGTGTTTGCTCCTTGGAAACACCTATGGGACTTCTATAAACAATGCATCTTGATTTGTCTAATGCAACTATACTGTTGTTTACAAGCTCTGTTATTATCCTCTACATTTTTAAGGGAAGTTTGATGGTCTTCATGATCTGGCTTTCTAACTTTTAGCACTTGACCTTGTAACGGTCCCTTGTGCTTCTTGATTAGTAGTTCTTTGTGCCTCTAGGTCTTCAACTTGTCTTTACGCTTGATAATTTTTTTTTTCAAATAAAGAAAGTAGAAAATAAGCAACATCTCTTGTTGACTTTTATCTTCTTTCTTTTTTTTTGCACGAGAAGGATTTTGAGAGTTAGAATCCAGTCATCTGCAAGAAAACACAGCTAGCCCATCTTATCCTCACAGCTTAGTATTCATTCAGCATGTTTTTCAACTACCCTACCTTGTCAGTATTCTGTCATGTTCTAAAAAACTCAGCAATCCATCCTATCCTCTCAGCCTTGTATTATTTTCGACATGGTTCAGGACTACATAACTCTCAGGGGCCCAACCAAGTATTTAGTGGGCAAAACCCTTTCCTTTTCTGTCCGTCCTAGGTTCTCATCTCAGGAGTTTGTTCACCTCTGTTCCACAAGTATGATTTGTTCCCAGCTTTTTCCTAGTTTGCATAGGTCTGTACTTTTTAAATTATAGTGCACAGGTCTTTTTTCTTTCTTCATCTCCTTTAGGCTTGTTGATGTTGTTACAGAGTAGTTTTTATGACTAAGATTGATGATGATGGTATATCTAGACTATGATTTTTTTATTATTAATGATGAATTGGTCTTTATTTTTGTAGTTGTATCTGAAAATGTTTATTTTGTACGCATAATCTTAGTATAGTACTGATCATTCTATCCACTTCTACATGCTTTTGAGGTTGACACTATGAGTAGCTATTGAGTATGTAATATGATTCTCTTGATTATTATGTTGGGATTTGATTGATCAAGGATCATCGTTGTGAGCTTGTTAAGTTTTGATAGTCATTCATTGATTTGGACTCGATAGTTTAATCAAGGTCCAACAAGCAACCCTTTTTGAACCTTCTTTGTTATAGATAATTTTTTTGCCCTTTTTTGTTTACTTTTTGGTGTCTGGCTGTCACAAAACTGTGGTTCTCTGAAGCAGCCTGTGTTGTTGGCAATGTAACTGTTACCTGATATTTCTTCTAAAATCTGCAGTTGGTATGGATCATGTCAGAGTTCACCCCAAGTTTTTACACTCTAATGCCACAAGCCACAAGTGGGCTCTTGGAGGTAAAGGGAGAAATGAGCAAATTTGTATTATTGGTTAATGATTATTTGTGATATTAACTATATTTTTGTTTTCATTCCCCTAATTCTTGGAGGTTTATTATTGTTTAGCATACTTAGATTAGCTATCTTACGTTTCTGTAGCTTTTGCTGAGCTTTTGGACAATTCATTGGATGAGGTATGTGTTTTTTCCCATCCTTTTAATAAAGCACCGCTTGTAATTATTGCCCTGCCTTACTTCTTGAATTTGAGTTCAGGTTTGTAATGGGGCGACATACGTTAATGTAGATATGCTTATAAATAAGAAAGATGGCTCCAGGATGTTGCTGATTGAAGGTATTTCATTCATATAATGTTTACTTAAGATATACGAGAGGAAAAAAGGAGCATATTCTTAGCTATGATGATTGATTTTGTTAGTAAAACAGAAGGAAGTAGGGTGTGCAAGAGTATCCTGTAAAATTTCGTAGAATATGTGGCCTTTATTCCTCCATGAAGAAAGCAAGTCTTAATTTATATTTCTGTTTTGGTCTGTTCTGAAATTCTTGCATACGACTTTACGCAACTTGTCTTAAACAAGTGCATGCTAAGATTGAATCGGTTATTTGGAGAATACATTATTATTATTCCTTTAAATATTTAGGCCTACCACTAGTTCATTAATAGTCTCTTTATTTCTTTAAGTTGATATCCAAGGTACACATACCCCTGCACCTTTTTACATTGTGACAAAATGAGTTCAACCCATTTTCAAAATATTCAAGCAACCCTAGGTATCTCTGGGTTGGGTGTAATTGACTATAACTTAAAAAAAAGGTTATGAAAGGGTGACCTACCAAATAAATAAAAAATAGAAGAAAACCCTTTTAAAATGTATCCATAACCATAATTAATGACCGATAATCAGTCCATAAAAAGTGTCACCAGTACATTGGAAGTCCAGAACTAGAAACATTAATACTTGCCCATTAAGGGTGGTTGCGAGCTTTTGATTTTCAAAACAAAATCATTTGTCTAAACTGGAGATGAAATGATTAACTTGTTTCACCAAACTTCTATTTCATTTTCAAGATCAAGAAAAAATAATTTGCTAGTTTGGTTTATGGTTATAAATCAACATACTCTCATTATATTTGATAGTGGTCTTTCCCATCATTGCTGCACTATAATCCCATTGACATCACTACCACTAGCATTGTCACCACCACAGTTGTCAAATTTGAAGTCTACTTGAACTTATGAAATTTTGTATGCTTGACCAATAGACTTGACTCATACCTGTAAGAGTTTACCTAATATAAAAAGTTCTACTATTATGACATAAATACATAATGCTAGGAACTAGGTTTATGCTTAACTCATTCTCCTAGAATTGGCTTGTAAGGTGAGGATCAATGAATGAATATCTTGAATGTGTGATTAGATATTATTAGGTAGTCTACCAGGAGCCTAATAATGGTGGCATAATGGCTCCAAAGAACTTGACTAGGTTAGGCTCCATATGGCTTTGATACTATGTTAGTAAATGAGTTTATGGCTAACTCAACTCTACAACTGACTTGTAATGTGAGGATTGTACTTCACTTGTATATTATAATTCGGCCTTATTCCTAGTCAATGTGAGATCTCTAATAGTGAGTTTATATCTAACTTAATCTCACAAAACCGACTTGCTAGGACATAACATAATACATTTAGAACAATAATAATTCAACTTTTGAACTTTAATAATAAGGAAAAGTAGCAAGCCTTATATTACAAGCGAGGTTTGTAGTGTTGAATTAAGATTTAATCCACTTAAGATCTTATAAGAGCCTATTGTAGTAACATTTGTGAGTGATAGCATATTGTCTAGATATATAGCAAAAATTAAGAGTGTGATAACTTTTTCTTGTGTACCTGTTTTGTATGATTTCAAACATATTGACCCACTACTTGACTTGAAAGTTTACATGAGTTTAAAGAGTTTGATGGAGATTTAAATCGTTTCCACTACCTATGATAGTGAACTCCTTAGAGTTTAAGCTAACTTAACTTGAATTTGACAACCTTTACCACCACCACACACAAAACCCTTAAACTAATTTGACATGATAAGTAGCTTTCAAAGTGAGTTTATTTCAAAATTTGAAATTAAAAAAAAGAGTCCTGATGAGTAGTTCTTTAAAATTTTCAGACTTTCAACCATAAACCACTCCATACTGGTCTGTTGCACATTTACATCAACAAGTTCACAACCAAAAAAAAAGTCCTGATGGGTTACTGTATATATAAGAGAAAGTGAAAATAAGTTAATTTGATGCTACCAAACGTGTTCAACTCTTAGATATAACATAAGATCGTTTTGCCATCTCCACTGAAAAGTAAAATTTATTATTTGACATGAGAGGAACACGTGAAAAAGGTTTAGAAATTTGATTTTCTCTTATTAGTAGAATCACAATAAAAGTGCTATATGCTCTCTCTTCTTTTTACCACTCTCGTTTTCTTTTTATTGTCAAAAATCTAAAATGTTTGATCTTTAATTTCTATTTCAGATAATGGTGGTGGGATGGATCCTGAAAAAATGCGTCAATGCATGTCACTGGGGTATTCTGTGAAAAGCAAATTGGCGAACACAATTGGACAATGTAAACCTTTACTCGGGGTAGAATGTAAATCTTGTTGAATATTCTTGTCAAATGGAGTATGCTTATCTTTTTGTGTTCATGTGATAGATGGAAATGGCTTTAAGACAAGTACCATGAGGCTAGGGGCTGATGTAATTGTTTTCTCCCGTTTTCCGGGGAAAGATGGGACAAGGTTTGTTTAGATCCCTTTTTGCTTCATTCAAATTTTTTCCCTAGTTTGAGATATGTTCTGCACATAGGGGGAAACTTGCTGTGAGGCAATCTAGTTATGATTAAGTATTTGTTGGATTTATAATGCTTGTTTTCATACACAATGATATATTATTACCTTTTACCAAATTTATAATAGCAATTGAATGTAAGGTTATCTTGCTATTGTATTTATGTAATAATATTTCCCTTATAAAATTATGTGAGGTAGTTCTTCATTTATCACATTAAAAAAGAACTATTCAATGTAAGGTTATCCTGCTATTGCAGTTAAGTGATATTATTTTCTTTTAGGGTTAAATATGTTTTTAGTCTTTAAACTTTGACATGAAATTGAAATTCGTCTTTGTTCCAAACTTTGATACATTTTGGTCCCTAAACTTTAAAAATGAATGGATATAATCTTTTAATCCAATTACGTTAAATTTTTTGACGTGTCAAACATGTTTCAGGTTAGCATTTGAGTTGTTTACACTCTTTGACATGTTCCCACTTCAATATCAGTCGGGAATGTTGTTTAACAAGCCCAAAAAAAATTGTATCATTAGATTAAAAGGATTATATTCATTCATTTTTAAAGTATGAGGACCAAAATGTACCAAAGTTTGGGACATGGATGAATTTCAATTTCGTGACAAAGTTTAGGGACTAGAAACATATTGAATCTTCTCTTTTATCACATTGAAAAGCTAAACGATTTGCTTATCTTTTATCATTTGTGAATTTTAGTTGATGAAGTTTCTGTAGTTGTCGTCCTGAGGAGCATGTTTACATTAAGTGTGCAGCTTAAAACACACCCATATGAAGTGTTCCTTGTTTGTTGGGGTTCAATGATTTTGTTCCACAGGAATAAATATATATTTAGCATTTTAGTTACCTGGTCTACTACTGTCAACCAGTAATTGTAGAATTGCTGTTATTAATAGCCACTGTTTATATTGTGCTTGAAGTGTCTTGTGTCCTTGTCTACCGCCTGCTATCATGTTTATCAAAATCACATGAGAACCATAAAATTGTGCTCAGGTTGACATTAGAATAAAAAGGAAATAAAAAATGACATTTGATGTTTTTGTTTCTGGGTCACGGTTTATGCACAATGCATCCAGGTGATAATTCTGTGGTTCACTGGCTCTGTTTTGCAAGCCTCTGTCTGTTTGGGTTTTGGCGTTGTGTTGTTGTATCAAATGAAGATATCTTTGTTGATGTTTTTTTCAGCTGTGTTATGTAGCGATGTTCTCCTTTGCAACCTCAACTACTCTCCCATTTGCTTTCTATTGTCCATTTCATACATTGTAGGTTGGGTCATATTAGGGTTTTTGTTTTTTTTTTCTCTTTATGACATTTCGGAATGTTGTGCCTCAGTTTTAGTCCAACAACCTTTTTTTTTTTATGTAAGACATACATAACATAATAGAGTTAACTAAATGATAATAATAAAACTATGATAATTATTGTTCTTATAAATTTATCGTTTTTCATGACTTGCTTATATATCTAATGGGTGATTTGGATGTTTTATTAGCTCTACTCAAAGCATAGGCTTGCTGTCTTACACATTTTTGAGGAGTACGGGAAAGGAAGACATTGTAGTACCCATGGTAATTTGTTTTCTTTATTTGTAGATTTTAGTTATTTTGAGTATATTTTATTATTAGTAGTGAAACTAAAGCATTTGTATTGATTTTTGTATTGCATATTCTCCTATGATACACAAAAGTCTTCCCCGTGCTTTCAATATACATTGCATCTTTGACCTTTGTCATTATTGGCTCAATCTTGCAATGATTATCTGAATTTTCTGCTGTGAGGGCCACTAGGTTTTCAAAACATTATTCATGGATTGGAAAGCATGGGATGGGTCAGGATGTTTGTGGACTAAAATTAGACATTTAGGGATGAATTGTGGTTTTGAAACATAATTCGTGGACTGATAGAGTGTTAAGATTGTATGGGATGAGTAAGAGAAATTAAGAGGGTGGTTAGGCGGTTAGGAAGAGTGTCTAACTGTTAACAGTTGGGGAACCTTATAAAAAGGTTGTGGGCTGGTGTAAAGGGGTTAGCTTTTGATATTCTTGTATAGACAGGAGGTTGTTCCTGTGGAGGGAGAGTGCTCCCTTGAGAGTGAGTGTTGTTCTTGTAATATTCTCTGAATACAAGAATATACAGTTTTGTCTCTGTTGCCTCGCAAGTTCGTGTTGTGTGAGTGTTAGATGGATTCGTGTACTAAAAGAACCTATCATGGGCTGCAAAACATGGGATAGGGTTTGTGGACTGGATGAATTATTTAATTTTAATTTCATTGTTTAAATATGTTCTTCTAAATTATGCATCTAACTATTGATTGCTGAAACTAAAGTTGGACTATGAAAGAAGAGGACAACAATGGAATAAGATAATACGAACTACTCTGGATGATTGGAATAAAAATGTTGAAACAATGGTGCAGTGGTCACCATTTTCTGATGAGGCTGATCTTCTTCGTCAGGTAATTGCATATTGTTTGAAGAGCATATTAATCTGATATTTTTCTTTTCTTACATAACGTCTGCTTTTCTTGGTGCCAATATCGTAATTCTATGAATCATGGTTTCATGTCTATATTGTTGATAAACGGTTATTGTCTTAATTTTTAGTTCAACTTGGTGAAAGATCATGGTACACGAGTGATCATATACAATCTTTGGGAAGATGACCAAGGTCAACTGGAACTTGATTTCGATGCTGATCCACATGTATGCTTGATAACCGAAGATTGTCATCCTCCCTCAAGAAAAATTCTTTGTACGAGCAAATATCACAAATTTTGATACTTTTATGGTTTTGTGTCAGGATATCCAAATAAGAGGTGTTAATCGAGATGAGAAAAACATACAGATGGCTAAAGAGTTTCCGAATTCTCGACATTTTTTGACCTATCGGCATTCACTAAGGGTAAATCAAGATGATTATTATTACTACTAATTTTTGTGTAGAAAAAAAAGCATATTTGGCTGCTTTCTGCATGGTATTCCTGCTTCACTGTGCATTTTATATGTAGTGTAATATTTATATGTAATATGGGGTGTATTTGGTAGAAAGGAAAGAAACAAGTTAGAAATAGTGAATGCGAATAACTGTGAAATAAAGTGGAAATTAAGTGTTTGGTTTAAGAGTAAAAGGTATGAGAGAAATAAGAAATAAAATAAAAGATTGCTACATAATCAACTTTTACATATAATAATTGATCATGTGTATTCTGCAAGGCCACATGCTCAGCCAATTATATTTCATTTTGCCTGTCTTGATCAATTGTACCTTCCTGCAAATTGATTATAAGTTGCAGTAACCGATGGTTAATAAAGAACAAAATGTAAACTGGTGTGCATTTCTGCTCCATTTCTCACAATTTTTGCATGAAAATAAATTGGAGTGGTACTTGTTTTTTTATCTCTGTCCTTCGTATTTCATGTATACAAATGAAGTGGCTTTTGTTGTTCTCTCCTATTTCCATACCCCCTTCCTTTTTATGCCATCTATTAGTCTCTGAACACCTCAGTTCTGTTCTATATTTAGAATAGACATGTATCTGATTTATGATTTGTGTGTTTATAATCATACTTATAATTTTGTTGCCTATCCAGAGTTATGCTTCAATTTTATATCTGAGGCTTCCTACTGCCTTCCGAATTATTCTTCGCGGGGAAGATATTTTGCATCACAACATAGTGAATGATATGATGATGTCTCAGGAAGTGACCTACAAGCCTCAAGCTGGAGTTGATGGGCTTCTTCCCAAGGACTCAAATGTAATGTCTTTGTGTTTGGTATTTCCCAACTTGTACAGAAATCTGATTTCATCTAGATCTTGTGACAGATGGTTGCTGTTGTTACCATTGGATTTGTGAAGGATGCAGTTCACCATGTTGATGTTTCAGGTTTTAATGTTTATCATAAGAATCGACTCATTAAGGTAGGGTTTGTTATGATGAACAAATCAGAAAGTCATATGTGATGCTTATCCTCTTTCTCCCTTTCAAAGTTGTTGTGGGGATGGTGATTCTGGGACAATGAAGAATATCTTTCAGTTTTTTTAACTTGGGTTTGTTGATTTCAATCTGCAAGACTTTTAGTTGGTCATTTGATGTATACTTTCTGTTTTTGCATGCCAGCTAAAATCACAATCAGCCGAACCTTTATAATTGTTATTATTTATTTGCGTAATGTCACCCTTGTCTTCCTTATTTCATTCTTAGAAATTATTAGAGAATTTGAGAGAAATTAGAACGTGTTGGTTCTGATATAAACGTACGCAATGGTCTGTGTTTTTTTCACACCTGCTATGAATAGCTTCTGTGCAAGCTAAAAGGAGACATTATATCTCCTTGCTAATTTAATTACCAGTAAGGGGAATAGCCAACAGTAAGCTATGAATAGCAACAGTAGCTAAGAAATAGTATCCTCTAACAGAAATGAGAAAGTTTGCAATTTATCCCCGGGCTATTGAGGTTTAATAATTAGTTAGATGCATCTATTGGGTATTGTTCTGAAAATAATCTTGCTTTATCTGTGCTGAAAGTGACCTTGTTGTAAGGAGTTTCTTTTGAATTAAATTAAATTATTGTCTGTGGAACTTTCATATCAAGTGAAGCACACTAGATGTCCTTTCTAACAGTCATAAGCGGTTCCATGATAAAACAATCAATATGGACTTTGCCACTTGGTGGAGTTGTTCTATTTGTTTGTAGGATCCAAAAACATTGTCACAACTTTTACGAATTGTTTTCTTGATTGTCAGCCTTTCTGGAGGATCTGGAATCCAGCTGGAAGTGGAGGACGTGGGGTCATTGGTTGAACCTTTTCTATGTTCATTGAGTTCTGAGTTCCCTTTATCAAGTCCGGTGTATTCATTTAACATAAGGTTAATTTCTATTTGCAGGTGTCTTGGAAGCCAATTTTGTTGAACCTGCTCATGATAAACAAGGCTTTGAGCGTACATTAGTTTTATCAAGACTGGAGTCTAAATTGATACAAATGCAGAAAAAATACTGGTATTTGTTTATTCTTCATTGGACTATTGTTTATTCTTCATTGGACTATTGTGAGTAATATTGTGTATTTTATTTAGGGCCACTAACTCCCATAAAATTGGTTATTCCAATCGAAATAAAATACAAATAAGAGATTCTGGTGATAAAGGTATGATTTGAGGCCATGCTGTTGTTGTTTGATGCTATGCTCTGCTCACTCGGTGATTGAAATTATGTTGTGGATGACCATATGGTATTCTACAAATGGATCTGTTTTTGTAGACACATCTCCTGCATATGTTCCAGAACCATCAAAATCAAAAAGGAAATATTCTACTATGGATGGCAAGGTAACGCCGTTGACATCAGACAAATTGCATTCACAACCAAATCAGAAACGGATGCAAAAACAAACAGAAAAAGATAGTGCATTTATTAATGGCCGATCTCCTGTTTCTCCTCCTAAACATATAATACAAAGTTCATCCGAAGAATCATCCTCTGATGATGATGTCAGTGAGGATCTCTTGCCTAAAGGAAAAATTCAGAAGGCATCCACCGCTGAGAAATCAAAAGTTCAGAAGGCATCTACCACTGAGAAATCATTTGAAAGTGAGAATGGAGACACTACATCAAATAGAAAAGCCTCGCCGTACACACGGGCATCCACATCCAAGATAAAGGTGGTAAATATGATCACCTTTATTTCATTTTGTTTTCATTCTCGTTTTTTAAGCTAGTATATATGTAGGCATTAGAACTTGAATTATTAACACGTAAGGGCTAGAAAAGGTGGAATTGGAAATTTATTGCTTTTGTGCTTTTATCGATAGTTATGAATGAAAAATAAGAGAAAATTTGGAATATGAGAATGTCCAATGCGGCAAAGCTTGTCTTATTTTTGAGGGAGCATGGAGGTCATAGGTGCCAACTATCTGGTAAAAGACAGTGTTTGATAGTTTTTAGTAGATTATAAATATTGTATGACTGGCCTTTAACTGGTGCCAGTTAGCCAGATTACCATAGTACCAATAAGCTGATATTTTATTGCCGTCTTCCAAGAATTCTTTAAATAGTAATCATGGCACATAATTCAATCTGCTGATCATTTTAGTGTTTTATTTCTAACACTTAAGATTGAAAAGAAATAATTCTTGAGGGCTTAATTGATCCCTCTCACAATCTTCTATTTATAAGAATAAATTGATACACAAATACATGATAAATAGGGTAACCCTAGACACAATATAATCATGATAAATAGGGTAATCCTAGACACAATATAATCATGATAAATAGGGTAACCCTTGACACACTATAATGATGATAAAATAGGATAAATATCCTAACACTAACCTCTAAGCTAAACTGGCTAACGTAAATGCAATATATTATGTTCAATACTATTGATGGTCCAAAATGAGTTTTTTTCTCTATAATTTAATTGAGAAAAAGTTCCTTTAAAATCTGAGTTATGGTGAAGATGACTAAGTCTAAAGTGCTTTTTAACTAGAAATTCTTGTTTTGTCTTAAGATGTCTCTTAAAAAAGAGTTGATGTTTGAGTGCAGGGAAAGGATGTAAATAATAGCGACCAACCACTACCTGACAATGATTTACTGACAATTGAGCAATTGAAGAAAGAGAACCGTGAGTTGAAGGAAAGGTATATTTTAAGTTTCGAACATTCACTGTATATATTGCTTTCTTTTGTGAACTTTATTCGTTGGGCCTTATCCTTCTTTTTTTGTTATAGATTACAGAAGAAGGAAGAGGAAATTTTAGAAGTGTCTCAAGCTTTGCAGCATGACAAAGACAAGTGTAAATCTCTCGAAACTCAGGTTTGGACCATGATCTTTGCACTTTAAGCTAATATTTGGTGTCATTGAATGATGTATATTGGTTTACTAGTTTCTATTATTTATTTAGCACTTTTACTCTTTTAAGTGCTTATTTTATTTTATATCTAGGATTATTTGTGTTAACCATTTTTTTCTCTCGGAGAATTTATCTTGTTCGGGATTTTATCTTTATTTGAATTGCTCAATTAGAATAGAGCTATTTTCGTGCTTTTGGTTGATTATTGTCTGGATTTAGTTAGTTGTTTTATTGATTCTACACTAGGAGTCCGCTGGGGTAAGTTTTTCTATAAGCACTTTCAGACTGAAAAAATAAGAAGAAAAAAAAATTGAAATGATCTTCTTCACAAGTTAAATTTAAGAATTTAGAAAAATTATGAGAGAACTTTTACAAATTAGTTTATGGAGAAACTCATTTTATTATCTCTTCGTATGTCTATCCTAGAAGTTCTTATATAGAAACTTGTCTAAACAGATCCTATGTAGACTTTTATTGTAAGTTCCGTATACTAAAACAACATCTCCAGGAGTCATTATTGAGTTAGAGAAACTCTTTGCCGTGGAGTACTGTAGGTTTATTTGGGGAATAAGAGAACCCTTCAATAGCTATGCATCAAAACTGCTAAGGATAAGACCCCATTTCTTCACGTACAAGATGCCAAACATTTTCTATTATAACTGAAAACATGACAATTACTGTTACTTCTAATGGGTCCTGAATCTTCAACTCCCAACTACCGACATGTCAGTTATCAGGGTCAATTATTTCTCCATCCTTGTTTAAGGCTTTATTATCTCCCAAACCTAAGTACCTTAATTTTTTCTTCTTGCATGGATCAGAATATGGAAATTTTCGAAATTCCTAAAACATAGACCCATTCTTTTTGGTACTTTTTTCAAAGAAATTCCTCTGTTCACCATCTGGCTTCCTCCTAGACAACACTGAAGCATTAATATTGGTTCAGGTTTGAGAAAGTCCCCAATGGACTGAACCATCACTACCTTGCGTTTGGTTAGGTACTTTTGTCAATTTCTACGATATTCAAATTCATTGCGTTTGGTTAGGTACCTTGAATGTCTCCAAATTTTTGTTGTTGGAAGAGTTTCCTTAGCCATGTAATCTCATTGGATTTGGAAACTATTTTTATGCTTCTTTCTCCTTCAGGACATCAAGTTTCCTCCAATGAGAATGCAAATCAAAGAAGTGGACGTCTTTTTTAATGTAATCCTTTCCAATTAGCGTCAAGTAATAGACATTTGGAATTGTCTTTATCCTCATATATTAATTAGTGACTTAGTATATTTGAGGTATCGAAAGTGACACAAGACAAATTTTGAATGACTATCCCAAGGATCCAACAAGAATTGACTAACCCCACCCCACTAACTGGAAATTTGATGTTTGGCCTGGTGATACAGTGGTAATTAAGTCTCCTCATTAGATGGTGTTATCTTCAAGGGTCTTTCATTGGCTCCCCTTGACTTGAATGAAGCTTTACCTTATGGCCCATCAAAGTATTGCATGCCCATCAATCAAGCACACACTGGATTTAGGTTAAGGCATACTTTTTCTAGGAAATGATAATGTTAATGGATGATCGGGCAACTTCAATGTTGAGGAAGTAGCTTAGTGAACCCAAGTCCTTGATTTGGTTTGAAATTGATTGTGGGGATGAGATGAGATGGAGGATTCCTAATAATTATTGGCATTGATGACATCAACATACATAACGTGATAGATGCAAAGTCCATTTGGTGAGTGGAGGTGAAAGATTTAGTGATTAGCTTCACAATGAGTGAAACCAAACTCAAGCATAGCAAAGGTGAAGGGACTAAACCATGCCTGAGGAGATTACTTTAAACCATAAAGGGTGCAACAAAGTGTAAGGTGTGAGACGTTGGAGACCGTAACACACTAAGAAATTATGGGAAAAAAGATGGTTGAGCAAGAAAGATTAAGAGAAGAGATTACAATTATTGAGGACACCTCAGATTTATGTCATGAAGGTCTACAAGAAAAACTTCATATCTTGCATGGGATTTGATGGAAAGGTACTAAACCAAAGGAAGATATGGTTTTTTTTGTCAACTTTCAAAATGTATATGAACAAGTGTCAAGTTATATTATCAGGGGTTTGGACTTTAGACATGTGTGTATGGAATTATTTTGAAAAATTATTTTTTGACTCCTAACTAGGGGATACTCGGTTCACCTAAAGAAAATAAATTGTGAAAGGCTTGGGAAAACGTGTTCAAGTGGCTTCCTTCTTGGCTATACTGTACCTTTGTAATGGAATAACTACTATTGGGAGAACCTTTAAAAGTGAAACTAAGACTTCCCTATAGGGAAAGATGTACACATAAGCTCAACTTTTTTATTCCTAGGCTTGTTTAAAATATAGTCTTTGATTTGCTTATGATTGAGTGTTATGGGACACTGAAGTTCCACGCTGTGTAATATGAGATGTTTGATAAAGTATTTAAGTTTTTGCTAAGCTTGGAGGGTGTACTTTATTGTGCTTGGACTTGTTAATTAGTAACAGAGCTGGTTGTGAATATGTTGAACAAGACTACCTAGGGAAGGTTGGCTGGTGAGGTTAACCCAAGAAAAAGTGAAGTGTCCCCCGTAGTGAATTTACAATTTAATATAATGTTGGGTATGTTGTCGAACTTGCATTTTCGAAGTCTATCCTCATGCAAATTTAGTTTACTTTACAATTTATGATATTGCTCAACCCTTAGGGATTATCTTATTCGCACATCTCATGCTGAAACGAATTAAAAAAAGAAAAGTCGTGGATTATGATAGTTGATGAATTTGTACAACCTATAAAACTTCTTTTGTCCTTTTCTGAATTCAGTTGAAAAATTCTTATTTCATTTCTTGGTCAGCTAAACGAGTCCGAAAAAAAGATTGAAGAGTTGAACCGTGATCAAGAAACTCTCATTGATGTATTCTCTGAAGAGAGGGAAAGACGTGATGCTGAAGAGAAAAATCTAAGAAAGAAGCTTCAGGTGTTATTCTTATCTAATGCTCTGCTAATCCCCCTCCATCCCTTCGCTGAATATATATAAAAAAGAAAGAATATGCTATGTTTTTCTTTTTCTTTTATTTTAATCCAAAACAAGTTGCAATTACAGTACCTGTTTTTGGTCCTGTAGGAGGCATCGAATACTATCCAAGATCTGCTTGACAAGATACGGATATTTGAAAAGAAGTCTACAAGTAGCAAACTAGAACGATAATGATGGCCTTGTTATTGCATTTTCTGTTGAGTGTTGTATCTACCTGCCACTGGGAACCAATGTTTTACTGCGATGCTGCTTTTATCATTTATTGGAATCTTCTAACTTAGGGTGTAGGGTGATACTGTAAATTGATTGTATAGTTTCACGTCTAACACCTCATTGATATTAAAATTTCTGTCCAGTACGGAGGAGTGAATTAGAGACTAACTGAACAATGTTCTTTACCATGGAATTTGGAGCAATTTTCGTGCAATAGTATCGTTCTCAAATACTAGTTCGATTTTAATTGAGGCATTTGCTAGTTGCTTCTACATCATTGAAATCTGTTCCCTTTGTTTAGTTCGAACTCTCACCGTTCACAGCATGAGTGTCGTACTAGGCTAAAGAACTCGTACCAGGTGAGATTCTTGGGGCGGATTTTGCCTGGTTTTTTGGGGGAGAAGTTGATAGGCGGTTAGACGAAGTTGATTATTATACGAAGGTTGTTAAACATTGATGTGGAACAGTTGGGTCTACTTAATTTAAAATTGAGTAAAACTGATTTTAGTATAACTAAGTTTGAATGAAAACTGTAGAACATAGTTTAGTTTACTTGTTTTTATATTAATTTCAATCTAAGATTTCACATTGAAATGTGTTATGGTAATCAGTTCTTAATTATGATAATCATTTATAATCTACTTATAGTAATATGTTATGAATATAGAATAATTGATTATCTTTTAAGTCCAATATTCTTATGAATATAACAAATTCATATGTCCTTTAATTCATTAAATGGTTCTTCATTTTTTTAAATTATAAATTTTGATAGGAGAAAGAATTATTTGAGGGAGGCGAAATATGAAGATACTAACAAAATTCAAATATTAGAGGCACTATAATGTTTTAAATAATGGTACTTCATTACTTCAATTCAAAAAATATCAAAAGTATAAATAAAATTTTCTAACAAGGAGTTTCATTGTCTAAAAAGCGTTATTTCTTTAAAACTTCTATTTTTAAAATCCTTCTGTTTTCTTTCTAGAAATTCTTACTTCTTACTCATTTATTTGAAGATTAAAGACCGTTTGAGGGACTCTTGAGACGAGATCTTCATTCCTAGTCGATTGATTTGAACTAAAGAGTAAGTTGATTTCTATATTTTTTTAAAAAAATGTTTTTGCATGTAGGTGTTTTCTAACTCTTTTGGGGCCTGAGTCTTCTTTAAGACTCTATTGATTAGTAATACTGAGGGTATACTATGATCATTTTTTATGAATTGTAGGAGCAAATAGAGATCTTGGAGTCATAGGCGGAATTCTCGAGTTCTTAGCGTCAACTAGGTAAGGGAATCTAGTTTTCTTTGATTTTAATTGATAGACAAGTTTTATTTGATGTTTGTATGATTGTTTGGTGGTTGTTTTGTGAAAATAAATTAATTTGTGAGATTTAGTATGTGAAGTTGCTTTTAAAGTTTGGTATGTAAGTTGAATTTCATGAATCCTTGTGTGTAGATGAAATTTTGATATTGTATTTTATTTTTAATGAATTTGGGAATGTTAGATTGACTATGTTATTTTGGTAGATTGTAGAACCTTGGTCTGATCATATGTTAGAAGAATGATTCGTTTTTGGGAACAAATGAGAGTTTTAAAAGGTGAAATTCTATAGAAGTGGTTATTAGAGTGAGTTTGAAGTTTGTGGATTGTTTTTAGGTAATTTAAGACTTGGTAGGCTTTTGATTTTGTAGAAATTTGGTTTGTGTAGAGTGAAAACTGTCATGTGCATTTTTGGGTAGTTAGATTGAGCTAATGAACTGAATTCTGGTTCAAATGGGTGATATTTGTATTCAATCAAAGATATAAATATGTTTCTTAAGGAGTGGACTTTAATCCTAACTCAACCCCATAAAACCGGCTTGTAAGGTGAGCTTTGCATCCACTTATATATTATAAATTAGCCTTATCTATAGTCGATGTAGAACTTCCAACACCCCTTGCTCACGTGAAGTATATCCATCTCGAGCGTGAGACTAAATATTAATGGGTGGTCCAATAACGACCCGATAACGGGTGGAACAACATGCCCACAAACAACAAATATCGATAGGATATACTCTAACCTGACTCTGGTACCATGTTAAGAAGTGGACTTTAAGCTTAACTTAACTCAAATTTTACAAAACTGAGTTGTAAGTTGAGGTTTGCACCCACTTATATGTTATAAATTGGCCTTATCTCTAGTCGATGGAACTAATAAATTGTAGTCGATTATAAATGTTTACTAATCAATTGTAGTGTTAAGAATACCAATTCGACCTTTTGAATAGGTCTTGAGTCCATTTAGATCAAATTTTAGAGTTGTTGTCATATGGTATAGCACTAAAAAGCCTTGTAGGGTGCTGAGTGTTATCAAACCCGAGAGCTCCTGAGTTTGAGGATGTTGAGCGCTAGGAAGTCAGAGAGCTCACTGACTCGTAAGCCCTGAGCGGTGGACTTTGGCGCTAAGCGCCTCTTCGTCACTACAATTGGTCGTTTGGTGCCAGAATCTAGTGTTTGGCACTAACATTCTTTTAGTTGTGTTAATTTATTTGAAAGCTTCTAATGCAGGTATTGTTTGAATTGGTTTAAAGTGGATATATTTTGATAACTATTAATGCTTTTGGAATGGTATAAACATGTGTGTGAATCAAAGATATGTTTTGTGAGAATAATCTGTAGAAGAGATTCTATATTCAAGAAATTTGTGGTGAGTGCTTGATAGTGAGATTTCAGAGTGAAGATATCCTAACATTCTATCAACGATTCAACTTATGTGGAGATGAATGAGGTGGTGGAGAGAATGACATGAGGTCTAGTCTAGCCTTTTAGGTCCTAAGAGTGGAAGATTAAGCTCATGTGTACTTGGTCCAGTTACCCTATTTATAACTCTGCAAAGTATAAATATTACCATGGGTGCATATTTTCAGTGAAGTCTACGTCAGCATCGTATCTGGATAATTGAGTTTAGAGGTCATTTATTGTATGTCAGCACCCTATTTATAACTCTGCAGAGTTTATAGATTTTTGTGAATTGTTGATTTAAGTTTGATATATTAAGTTATAATATGATAATTTCTTTGTATCAGCTTGCTTGGTTTTATGTTCTTTGTATGTTTTGTTTAAATCTTTGGTAATGATCCTTATTTGGTGTGAGTAAAGGATGCTATAGGTGATAACCTGCCTTTGATCGAGTCAGGATACAGTCGAGTGATACACGAAGTTTAGTGTGTGTGTGTGTGTGTATATATATATATATATATATATATATATATATATATATATATATATATTTGTTTTATAGAATTTTGTGAATTGTTGATTTAAGTTTGATATATTAAGTTATGATATGATAATTTCTTTGTACACTAGGTTACCTTGCTTGCTTGGTTTTCTATTCTCTTTGTGTTTTGTTATATCTTTGGCAATGATCACCATTTGGTGTGAGCAGAAGATGTTATAGGTGATATTTTACCTTTGATGGAGTCAGAGGATACAGTCGAGTGATACGCGAAGTAGCTAGAGTTCAATCTCAACGAGCTGTTCAGCAACAGAAAAGGGGTGAAAGACCTCAAGCTTCGGGTTGAGTTTATGCAATGACGGGTATAAACACACTTTGTGTTATATTTGGTAGAAGTTTTTGTGTGTTATTTGATTTTGGAGCGGCACACTCGTTTGTGTCAGAAAATTGTGTTAAAGATTTGGGTTTGCATGTGGTGGAGTTGAGGTATGATTCTTTTGTATCTACCTTAGCTTCGGGTTTGGTGAAGACATCTACAGTATGTGTTAGATGTTCGATGATGCTATAGGGTCATATCTTCAAAGTCAATATGATATGTCTATCCCTGCAAGGGTTATATTTAATCTTAGGGATGAATTGATTATCTGCCAATCATGTTTCTATTGATTGCAACCAAAAGATGTTGAGTTGGTGTCTTCACGTCAGATTGTTAAGGAGGTTAAAGACGGGTCTTTATGCTTTGTAATCTTAAATCATCTGGAGGTGGAGGAAGGTGAAAAGAATATAAAGATCCCTTTTGTGTAGGATTTTTCATATGTTTTTTTTATGAAGTGTCTGGTTTGCCTTCTAAGAGAGAGGTGGACTTTTCAATTGATTTGGTGTTGGGAGCAAGACTAGTATCAATTGTTCCTTACCGTATGGCTTGAGTTGAGCTAACTGAGTTAAAGAAGTAGATATATGAGTTGTTGAAGAAATTGTTTATTCGTCCCAGTGTGTCGCCTTGAGGAGTATTGATTTTGTTGGTGAAGAAAAATGACGGTAGTTCAAGACTATGTGTAGACTACAGGTAGTTAAATAAGTTGACCATGAAAAGTAAATATTCGTGAATAGATGATCTAATGGATCAGCTGCATAAGGCAGTGGTATTTTCTAAGATCAACTTTAGATTGGGGTATCATCAGATATTGGTCAAATTTGAAGATGTGTAGAAAATCTCCTTTAGGTCTTGGTAGGGGCATTATAAGTATGTGGTTATGCCATTTGGTGTGACTAACGCTCCTGTCTTGTTCATGGATTATACAAATAGGATCTTTAGGACCTTTCTAGATAAGTTTGTGGTGGTCTTCATAGACGACATTCTTATTTACTCCAAATCATATGAAGAGCATGAGGAGCATCGGAGGATAATTCTTAGCATCTTGAGGAAAAAAAAGTTGTATGCTAAGTTGTCTAAATGTGAATTCTGGATGAAAGAAGTGCAGTTCTTAGGCTATGTTATATCAGCCCAAGGAATTCTCTAGATCCAACAAAAGTGAATGCATTGATAGAGTGAGAGCGTCCAAAGTCTATGACCGAGGTAAGGAGTTTCATGGATTTTGATGGTTATTATAAAAGGTTCATTGAAGGATTTTCAAGATAGTAGCGCCTTTAACATAGTTAACCAGTAAAGATAAGCCTTTTTGCATGGACAAATAGATGTGAGGAAAGTTTCCAAGGGTTAAAGAAAAGGTTTACTAGTGTCCCAATGTTAGTGATTCCTGACACAAGTATATCTTTTGGGGTCTTTTGTGATGCATCATATCAGGGTTTTGATTGCATGCTTATGCAATAAAAGAAAGTGGTGGTATACACTTCAAGGCAATTAAAGGTTCATGAGAAGAATTACCCCACTCATGATATAGAGTTAGCAACAATGACGTTCGCCTTGAAGACATAGAGATACTACTTGTATGGTGCTCAATTTCAGGTACCGGTTTGATCAAAAGGATTTAAACATGAGGCAGAGGCGATGGTTAAAAATTTTAAAAGATTAT